CTCTTTTGTCTGGTTTTGTCTTGTTCTGTCTTGGAACCATTGTCTCACTTTCGCTACCAGCCACTCTCAAGACCGTCGTCGAACACCACCTGACTACGAAAGACCTGACGACATTGTTCACGAACTTGCTTCCGCTCCCTTTCCTCTACACCCCGCCCTCTTTACAAAGGGCCTGTTAAGGGGAATTCAATAATTGTAATCTATATCGACAATGTCTCTAGCAGTGACGCAACAATCGCAAAGGGAGCTTGATGCACCAAAACTTGATACTGCTCTCGCCCAACGGGTACAAACACAGTCACAGCCCCGATCTCAAATACAGTCTTTATCCGTCGAGCCTCCTATTTATTCTCCTTCCGCCGACGCCGACTCGTCTCCCGAAAACACACCTACAACAATGATTCCTTCACAACGACAACTTTCTGCAGCTCCTGCGCTGCCAGCCAAGAGCTCACTCCGAGCTTCAAGATGCCTCGATGGCCTCTTGACACACAAGCTTACCCCCGAGGGTCAAGCTCCTTTCTCTACTCCCCATGATGTCTACCTCTCTTCAGAAGAAGATGCGTCTTCTTCCGCCGATGACTTTTCCGATTCCGAATTCGACTCTGGCAGCGATGAATCCCAGTCAACTCGAAGGGGAAGTCATGAGGACACTGCCAAGGTCGTCTCAGTTGTCTTTTCTGGAAAGCCTTCAGTGATTGATCTCCCTCGCCGATCAGTCTCTCCCAGCATCATCAGTGAAGCTTCTTCCCGACCCTCATCAAGAATGTCAATTTCATCTCGACCCCCTAGCCGCCTCCGCAGAACCACCACCCTCCCAGTTACCCTTCCCGTTCTCGACCGACGAATGTCTTTCTGCACTACTTCTTCCGGACCAGTCATGCACCCACCCCGAACAAGCAGTATGGGAACTCGTCTCGAGAAGCAACGACCCGATTTTCTCAGCATTGACCCCTTCGCCAAAGTTGAGCCCGAGGTCAAGGAAGAGGCCACCGAGAGGCCCAAGACACCAAAGTCGCCCGGTGTTTTCAAGCGTACACTAAGCTTGGTCAAGAAGCGAAGCCGACCTTCGCTCAACACCCATTTCGCCAGTCAATCCAAGGATAACCTTTCACTTTTCACACCCACTTTCCCCATGGAGCAGGTTCGAGAAGAACCGGGCACAGACTCCGAGGAGAGGGCCCCCAAACCCATCCTTCAAAAGGCGCCAACTTATCACGAGTTCGCCCAAAGGAGGATGTCTTCAGCACCAATGTCTCCCATGTCACCTATGTCTGAACCCGGATCTCCAATGACACCTAATGGCACACGTAGCCGTTTGAGGCAAGGATTGGCAGCAGCCGCGAGAAGGCGAAGTGTCAAGGTTTAAAGACCTGACCTGTACTTTTACGAATTATGACTGGGCAAAACGGATACGGGTGCTAGACGCCTCTAATATTTCTCCTTTGTTACTATCTTCTGTATCGACCGAAAAAAGGTCCTAGGGCAAAGGAAACAGGCGTTCTATGGACATATTCTGCTGGACAAGAAAAACCGGCGTTGTATTGTATTAACTCACCACTCGAACTGAGAATGGCGTTTTGGGATATATCAAACATGCTTTGCAAGCATCACGACCTTGGACAGGTCTCTTGGATGGAATTTTGTCAGCTAAATTGTTAATGAAGAACCGCAAAAAGACGGTCAGGCATATCATGAATGGAGTTTTAGCTTTGTTCTGATGAATAACAATATCACGATTGCTGCTACACATTCTGACCCGCTGATGTCTTGTGATATGTTAACGTTAGTACTTTTGAGGCTGAGACTATTGATTGTGGTGAAGTGGTTACCTTGGTTCGGCGCGGCCGCTACAAGTGCCTGAGCCTGGGGTTAAACTCAACAGCCACCGACAGCATCGTCTTGTCGACAGACCGGGAATGGCTGGCTACTCTTGATAGGGCATTAATAAGAATGATTCTAGAACTGTTTTGTCCGCCTTCGTAATTCAAAAGTGTTGTGTTGGTTGGTTGGTGCTGCCTCGCTCTGATACTGATTCCGGAAATGGAGTACCATATGCAATGCATCAATGACTCTATCGTCTGTATCTCGTCACGAACTGTTGATCATGTCCCCTGTTACTTTTTGCTTCTGTTGTTGCGGTGATGAGGAACATCAGATCAAAGACAGGGTGTAAGTGAGAGATACTGTGGGGTACTTGAAGAAACGCGCACAAATGGCGGTGGGTGAAGTACATAGAAGTACTTTCCGCATTCGGTAGGTGGGAAATGAATCGACTCGGTGAGGCACGTCAAGGCAATTTAATATGCCGTAGCGTTATGATTTACTGTTAATCTCGGGATGTCACCAGATATGAAATTAAATTCTAGAAGATGAAGAGAAGGCATGACTGATGATGTAGTTATTGTCCGTCTACCTCGAAATACTTGATGCCTTTCTCAGGATTGAACAGTGAATGTCTTGGTGAAGTAGAGTTAGGCAGAGCAGGTACCTGCAGATCTCCCCTGAGCGGTCAACCCCTGTTAGCTCATCCTCATCGCTGCAATCATCTTTGATTGAGATCTACCCCTTGAATCCAATCCCATCCCCAGCAGTAAAAAGTAAGAAGATGGCACGGGAGGAGAGGTCACTCACACTCAAGCTTACTGTACTGTATGTACATGCGAATCTGCCCTGTCAATCCGACTAGTTCATCGCTAATTATATTTCACCGTTCTTGAGTCAAGGTCTATGCTCGAGCACAGTCAGCAAATCCTTAGAGCTAGCTACTTAGCCAGTCAGGGGAAGCTCGAATTGCAGTGGGGATGGTGACTTTGAATTACTTGTGGGTATGGAAATGCGAGAATATCTTTGCTCAATTGGGGTTCACGTTGTATTTGCCCGTTTCTCATGCTACTGTATGATGTCTTTGCTTTCTTTTCATGAGACGTTGGCCCACGTGGGAAAAGCAATGAGGCGGGAGACATGCATGGGCGTGGTGTGATTCGTCTCGTATGTTTCTCCATGTCTTTTTGACCGTGTTTCAATGAGCCAATTGAATTGCTCAATTGGTCGTATTTTATGGTGGGTTCTTCATGAATCATCTCAATTCAAGAGCTTCAATTGTTAGTCGCCTCCACTTTGTCTCTCTCTTTGTCTCTCTCTTTGTCACTGTCATTGTCTCTCTCACGACTCCAAGCTTCTTCCCTTCAACTCTGCGACAGACCGAGCTGTATCAAACAGCGTCAGTGTCTCAGACAAGACTTTCCTCAGCCGTCAAGCGATCGTAGCGGCTTCAACACGAAGAACCTCTTGCGTGCTCCGTGGGGGCCTCTAGCACTAAAAGAGGCGCTCGTTCATTTCCTTTTGATGCTTGGACCACTTGAAGGATGTTGCGCTGTGTCTTGCATGAGAACGCGGTGCTGCTCAGAATGTGGCTGGGTCACCATCAGGGGAAACCGTTACGGCGCTTGACTTTGTTCGAATTGTGGCTCCAGAAGCGCAAATAAACACCAGAGAAGGGCGGTCAGGGTTGACGATGGAGCTTGGATTTGAACGATGTTACTGAGACTTTAAGAGAGTTGCACTCTGGAATAGAGATGGGCATGAGTGCTCGCAGATCTAGCGTATTGGCGTCACGAGTCACTTGACGTATCTGGAGGACCCTGAAACATGTGGTGGACGATCATGCACTACACTGCACTGTGAAATACTGGTGATCCTCGTCTGGGGGAGATTGGACCTTTGCTGAATAGCGATCGGCGATCAAAACTTCTCTGTAGACATCTAGTCTGTACTAAAACTTCGACGGACCGATCTGAGAGCTGGCATCTGCGGTGGCTTTCTGATGACAGTGTGGAGAAGCAGATACTCGAGTATATGAAGACCTACAACGAGTAGAATGATGGGCACTAGGATCTGGGGTTCTTCAGCGTCTTATTTTGAGCAGCTGTGTCTATCTGAGATGCTCCACAAGACCTGACTCAATAGTGAAGCTATCTCGAGTCCCTATCCTGGTACGTGCTCGAGTCCCAAGATGGTGGACAGCGGCACAGTACAGATGAAGAATGAGTACAAGACCATTGTCACTACGATATCCCGACTTGAACGAGGTTTTCATGATTCGGATCTGGGTGTAAGGTCTGAGCGGAATTGGAAGTGAAACAGAAGCTTGGACAGATCGGTGTTGGAGTTTAAAAGCTTAGTGCTAGAAATAGCTTTGACGATGCCGAATTGGTGGATTTGCCACGTTGAGTTGGGGTTTCAGGTGCGTTTACCTGATGGAAGCTCTGGCTTTTCTAGAAGAGGCAAGGAACACGAATCAACGGAGCTGAAGAATCCTCAGCGCATCGACAAGTGAAGATTGGACTGATAGGTGTCAACCGTTGACTGAGCCCCCATCGCTTCAGGTATGCCAACCAGCCAGCCAGCCAGCGCTAAGGCGCATTCGAGAATGAAACAGGCTGTTACACGTAATGGTCGTTTATTGTCTTTATAAGAAGGGCAACTACACATATGCTTTAGGGCTTGGTCAAAGCGAGCGACTGCATCCTATGGATCTATGGAATAATAGTAATATACAATCAACATTGAATTCAGCTACATTTGCTATCATTTTATGCCACGTGCTTTTGATCAGAGAAACATCATGACAGCCCAACTACTAAGCACTCAAGGAACAGGCCATGACTTCAACGCACTCGTAGACACCAGAGCTCAGTACTATCACCATTTGCTTTGAATCTTAGAACGCTATGTGTCTGTGTCAATGCGATACCTGGCTGTCTCTTGCGGCGAGGCTCTTCTTTTTAGTATTAATCTGATGATGGTAAAGGTATCTGGACCAAGTACAGCACACCGTGATGAATTCTTCCCTAATGATACTGGAAGTGCATAACTCGATAATCTCACGATACTTTCTCTCTCCAAGTTGGAAGTCTAAAGGAACCCTATTCCTATCAAGGTGCAAACAGCACCTGGATTATGTTCTACCGCAACTGAGCTAACAAAATTTATGCCCTTTACTCATAAAGGCATGAAATAATAGTGAACTGTGGCTGAACCCAACGTTGATTACGTGTTATACTATCGCCATCTGTAAAATGAAGTCTCTCGCTTTGATTAAGCCTCAAAAGCATATCGCCGCTCTGTATCCACTCTGAGATTATTTGTGGCCAGTACCGACTCCCTCGTCGACCTGTATTGAGGTTTATGACAGCCACATTTCAACCAAAACGATCAGCAACCATGCCTTCCAGAACCTCCTACGCATTACAGTCAATTAAACCAGGGCGACCTGGCACTAAAGGCCATGCTTTCTCCTTTACAGTTAACTACTTACTAAGTATTAACTCAATTATACCAGTATAGGATGACTGACATCGGTTAGATATCTACTGCCACAATGGGTCTAGAGAAGTACAGACTTACTCCTCGTTTTCCCTCTGCTAACGCATAGATATGATGTCTCGATGTGGCGACGGTGAGGATGACCAAACTTGTGAGCCGACAGACCACTTCGCAAACAACAAGTTCTTGTCCAAGGCACCAGATACCAGCCTGACCACCCATTCCTTCTGTTCTGGGGGTTCTGGGATCCGAGTTTGAGTCCTTGCTACAGAAAAACTAACTGGTGCTCTAGGGTTACTTATGCGAGTGTTGTCATGCAGTTGCAGTATCGCAGCATTACCCGTCGGCCTATATTGAGACTCTTGAAGTTTCTATCATTTGGATCATCCATACTTACGGACTCCCCAACATCTATCTGAACTTCAGGATATCTGAATTCACTACTTCTTTTCACAGGATATGCCACCTTGACCCGTTGGGGTGCCTGCACTCGCATATCACATTGAAAAGTGCACAGTGTCTGCAAATGGGTACCCTCGTACCACCCTTCTTCCTGGCTGTTCATGGTGATAAAAGAGACCCCGGTCCAGCTGGCCATCTCAGCAACCCCATGCTAGGCAAACACTGTGTGTTTCAATTGCTTAGACTGCCTGGCTGGAGGGTATGGGCATGAAGGTGGCTAATCTTGGAACCTCGCTTAGTGTGACAGAGCTCGTCCGATCAATGACCCTACTCTTCATCAATGAGGTATTCTGCTTCAAAATCACGAGCATTTACGAAAATCAGGAACACTGATTGATACATGATTGAGACCGGCGTATCGAATGCGCCTCATGGATGAAAAGCAGGATAAACTTGCAAAGGGCATTGACCTTACAACGAGACTTCCCCCCCTCTAGGTACTATAATTGCTAATTGTTTTAGTTAAAATGTAGCTGCTATAAACCTCAGTATAGATTAAAGAGAAAGTTAATACTATAGGACCCTGCGTTTCACGCTATTCCCAGTTTATCCTCATCAATAACATCATTCTCTATTAGAGAAATCCATCTATCACACCCCCTTTAATTCTCTATTATCGGCACTACAAACATGCTATCAAGAATTCTTTTCCGTTCGATCTCGAGACTCCCGTGGCAAAGATTACCATCAAGGCTTAGAAAGCCTCAGTTCACTCAAAATAAACCACAACAGTTGCTCCGACCACCTGTCACCTCCATGAACAACGCTTGGAGGAGCTCTATAATCTCACACGTTATATCGAGCAATGAGAGAGACAACGAGAGACTAGGTAAGTATGGTCAATGTGATAAAAAGTTTAAGCTAACTGGATAGAACAACACCGACCTTTTTTCATCTGATGGTTCGATAATCCACGATAGATAGGGATAAAGTACATCGCTCAACTGGGCGGCATTTCTGGTGGTCTTCTAGTAAATTATTCAAAATATATAACCAGAAAACTCTAATTCTTTTCCTAGAAGCTCTATGATTTTATATCGCAGATTGTGTTTTGGTTTTTCGGCTGATGGATTGCTATAAGCGTTACTCTTTTTGCTTGTTATTCTTTAGGGATTTTTTTTCAGGCGTTAAAGAAAGCAATACAAATAAATTCTTTTTTCAAGTTATGCCCTCACCCCATAAATGCGAAATGGTTGCATTGCTGGTTGAGACTATCCCAGCAATCTGACAGATTGGCGGTGTACTTACCCATTGTCTCTTATTGGCACAGCCGCCCTTGGGTCTGCCGTATATAATAAAGTGAGGATGTAACACGAGAGAAATGGCAGAGAAAGCCAGTGCAGAGATAGAAAAGTTGAGAATATTGATGAGAACGGAATCGGAGTCGTTTACTTCGTGATCATTTGCGAAACTGAGATGCTGATGGGCACAGCGCTCTGCAGGTCCGGACGCGAAGAACCATGATTTGAAATAGAAATATGACACATTTGAGACATGAAGCTATTGGCAGCGTGAGCGAGAGCGGTCGTGATCATCAGATGGTCGCGGTGGAGAACAATGAGTGAGGAAGATGAGGTGGGACAAAGTGAGGGTGTGTGTGTGTGCATAAATAACATCAGTCTCGAGAAACGAGAAGGGAAATGCCCATGCGGGACTCAAGTCTTAAGGTGCGCGAAAATGATTGATAGGTCCGATCGCGACTATTATGGGAAGATCCATTTGTAGATTTGTGTTTGTAGACGCGATGTTGGAGTCTGAGAGAATGACTTGATGATATGTTGAGGTTCTTAAGAGGGGGTGGGGGTAACGAGAAAGCTGAAGCTGCGTTGCGCACGGATCAGACCCGCAATTCAGCTGCCAAATGCCGCTTCCTTAACTTAAAGAGTGGCCGGTGGATATATCTTCCGAGCATCAGCTTGGACGACGTCCAACTTCATATCACTCAATCAAGTGCGCACACGGAGCCATGACAAGAATCTTGCCCACTATGTTTGTATTGCATATTTCTTCAAGTTACAATGCGCAGACTGGCAGCAATATGGAAGAGACTAGGTTCTTCCAAGCTTGTCTCATTCAACCTGCTCCTCCAGTCTCCTCCAGCTCCGAATATTGAGCAATCCTACAAGTGTTGAGATACGGGGCCATTTTATTCGAATGCTGATGATCATCTTAACATTCATGATCTTCCGAGAGGCTTTACCAATATGGATCTTGCCAACAATGACTGTCTCGAGCCATGGAACATTACCATCATGCCTTACCATTGGGGTAGTTTCCAAGATTCCTGAAAGGAAACACGGTCTCTATTGTCACTCTATTGATTATTACATATGCTAAAGAAAGTCAAATTAAGGACAGTTACATTGGATTGCGGCTACAGCTTAAACCCCTGGCAATGGGCTGCAGTGGGGGGTGGTCAAGTCAAGCTATTGTTCATTGTACTGGTTATTCAGAAGTCATTGTTGCTACGGATTTTTAAAACTCCTCCCTCAGCCTTTCTCGCTTCTTTTCCGAACCACTTTCTCATCCCCCTCTTCACCACAAAACACCACATTACGACCTGCCACCCTTTGAAGCACATACAGCTATCCCGGCTTCTTTCTTCCCCAAGAAGATACTTCTTGGCATCCCATCGCGCTGTAGTCAAGTCGAGTAGATAGCTTTACAGTGTTTCAACATGTCTGCCGAAAAAGCGAGCCCAGTCTTGGTTCTGGGCATCGATTTTGGCACCACGTAAGCTCCCATCCCCTCCTGATCTACACTCTCTAACGTCTTCCATACAGATACTCAGGCATTGCGTGGTGTCGAGTCGGCGAAAATAACGAAATCAAGTTCACCACCAACTGGAAAAAGCGAAGGTTCGCCCAGGGAGACAAGCAGAAGGTCCCCTCGGCGATCTTCTATCATCACCTGAATGATGAAGACCCCGAATGGGGCGCGACAACTCCACAGGATGATACTGTCCTTCGCTGGTTCAAGCTCCTCCTCGTCGACGAGAAAGATCTCCCAGATCATATCCGACACTCTGTTCAGCTAAAGACAGCTCGGGCTCTGATGTTGAAGGCTAACAAGACTCCAGTCCAGATCTTGGGCGACTACCTGCGACAGCTTTGGCGTCATTGCCGTGAGAACATTATCAGGGCTGAGGGTCGCCGAATGATGAGGGTCTCGACAGTTCACCTTGTTGTCACTCTCCCGGCTATCTGGCCATACTACGTTCGCTCCAGAATGACCGAGGCTCTGGGACACGCCGGTCTTCTCAACATCACCAAAGCTGGACATACAGCTTTGGATTTTATCTCTGAGCCCGAGGCGGCTGCTTTGACCTGTCTCAAGGAGAACGCCGATCGCTTCAATGTCAGAGTGAGCTGAAAATGACCTTTTATCACTGGTCTGTAGTTAACCATGTTTAGGTCGGTGACCATTTCGCCATCTGTGATGCAGGAGGAGGGACTGTTGTAAGTTTTAGCTTTCCTCTCCTTGCGAAACGTTTCTTACAAAATAGGACCTCATCACCTACAAAATCGAGAAGCTTGATCCTCTCATTATTAGTGAGAGTGTCAAAGGCGATGGTAAGTCATCTGGGCCGCTGTACGATGCACGTTTGACTGACCTCGAACAAGGTGGCCTATGTGGTGCCATGTTTCTCGACGAGAGATTTCTAAAGCTACTAAAGGAAACGATCCCTTTTGAGGCTCAGAAGAGTCTTGACAAGCAGACATTCCACAGGATCATGGAGTCTGATTGGGAGGGCGGCTTGAAGGCCTCCTTCTGCAAGTCCAGCGGAAACTTGCCCCTACAACTCTCGTACGACAACCCCGTGGACGCCGACTTCTTCCCCTCCAAGTTCAACATCGATGTGTAAGTGCCTCAAAATGACCCCATAATGTTACCCTGGGAATGTTTGGAATTTTCCGCCAAGACTTTCATGGGCGTCTTCATTGTATCTACCTCGTCCTATCTAACTTAGTGCTAGTTCCAAAATCCGCGAGAAAGTGTTTGACCCTGTGGTCCAACAGGTTAAACAACTCGTTCAGAAGCAGGTTGATGCAGTCAAGCACAAATACAAGAAGAAGCCAAAGGTAAGTCTGCTCGTCATCTCGTTCAATGACAGACTGCCTAACACCTTTTAGTTCGTCATCCTAGTTGGTGGCTTTGGAAGATCTCTTTATTTGCATCAACGCCTTCAGGATGCCGTCGGCAACAGAATAGACGTTCTTCAACAGGACGGTGAAAAGCCGTAGGTCTTCTCGGCGCTTCTTGAAATTCCGTTGATTGACAATTATGTGTAGCTGGACTGCTGTGCTTCGAGGAGCTGTCCTTCATGGACTGGCGAGAACCAACCATACCAGTTCAATCAAAGTTACGGTCGCCTCACGTGTGTCTCGTCACAGTTACGGGACCCTCGTGAACATCTTGCCCTTTGACGCCAAAGAGCATGACACCAAGGACCAGGTTTGGGATGAAGGCCAGCGGGAATTTCTTGCTGTCGAGCAGACACGGTGGTTTGTTGAGATCGTAAGTCAAATGGGCCCGTTTATGTTAACCTCTAACTTCTCTAGGGTTCCTCTGTATCTTCATATGACCCCGTTTGTGCATCCTTCTGGCAGGATCTTACGAGCCCCGACGATGATCTCCAAATCGACATCGTTACCTCAGACGCTTCGGCTCCCCCGACCCGCAAGGACGATTCAGTCAAACCTATGTGTATCATCAAGGCGTCCGAACTTCCCAGATGGGATACCATACCAGTGTGGACC